ACTCTGTTTCTCCCCCCGATCTGATGCTCTATGCTTTGTTTTTCTGACAGTGACACCGGTATACCTGTTGTATACTGGCTTCACCCGTACTGAACCTTGCGGATAGTTTGGCACATGCGCAATATAGTATAGAGGAGAGTTGTATCTCCCGATCGCTATGGTTACTGATGACGCGTATTGAATACGCCGATACCAAGCGACGCGCCACATACTATGGAGTAACGAACAGCCATCAGATATATCCCTGCCACGTACTGACTAACTCTACGGCGGATGACACACAGCCATGGCATTGATCTTGAGCATCAGATTGCGGGGACCGTCCAGTAAGTAGTTTGGATGTTATATATATGATGTTTTATATATGATGACGTTAAATGAGATTATATCATATAGAGTTTTTTCTGTTCTTTTTTTCAAAATTGCCTTTTTTCCCGCCGTTTTTACATCACTGGGGGCGTGTACATCACTAATGATTTGATTACATGGGGTATATATGTAGCTTGTGGATGTTATTACATTGTCACATCTCTTGCCTTGAAGAAGGGACCCTGTGTGGCCCCGAAACGTCGGCTCATGTTGGATTTCTGTGACATCATTGTCCATTAAAAGGACTCATTCATTTTAACTTATGGAGTGCTGGTGACCTATTTTCTTCAATCCTGCCAAGAACAACACAAGGTTTTTCCTATAAAAGGTAAAACCCTTGAAACACAGACGACCTACAGCAGAGATTTATCTCAGGTACTTGCAAACTTTTTGTTCAGTTGACCTGGTAGCATGGTGTGCATGAATCAATGCGATGAAGTCAGGAGAGGACAGATCTCTCTGCTATCTAGGAAATGTTCAGCAACGCAGCATCTGTCAGATCTTGACTCAGCAGAACCAAAGTAATTCATTTCAGTATGAGTTGCGGCAAAACAGAGGTCCAATTGCACTGTATCCAAGCTCTTGTTCATAAGAAAAAAAACAACATGTCCACAGCGCCCTCAGATGGTTTAATATATGCACGCTCACCAAGCTGCAATGGCAACAACTGTATTTCTGCTGGACAGTATGTCCTCTTTGTATGAATGGTATAGAAGGTGCAAATTTTGGCATCCAATATTCTTGGCATCCAAATTTAGTATCCAGGACACTACAGAACTAGTTATGTCTCCTTGGCTTCCACAAGGCCAGCAACACTTCCACTGTAAGTCACCACATAAAAGGTTTAATAGAGAATGATACAGAGGTCTCTGTGCAGGGTCTAGTTTATTAGAACAGTTTAAAGTGCAACTAAACATTTAATTACAAACTGGGGAAGCAAATTCAACTCATCCCAGAAATTCTGATCTCTGATAAGCTCCTCACTTTACTTTCATGACCCATGTTCAACTTCAGTGTCTCTAAGTTTTAGCTCCATTTCAGTAGATAGGAAAAGCACAATTTAATTTACAAGACAGCAAAAGCACCAAAAACATTTCAGCTGCATGAATACATACAGTATGTCATAATATACATCTGTATTTTTTTATGGTACCTTTTGTCTTTAAAAAGCAGTTATTGATCTCCAGCCTTGTTACTGTGCCTAGAGCGGAGATGAGCAATCTGGGAGAATGAGGACACTAGAGTCCGGTGGGCTAGCTGAAGCATTTTCACAGTCCCCTTTCTCCCAATGACCACTAACAAACTCTACATTATCATTTTGTGAAAAGTGAAAGAATTAGAAGCAGCAATAAGCTCATTTGTACAAGCGGTGTACAAATATACAAGAGTATGGAAGCTACTACATAAACATCAGGATTTCCATGATTCTACAATTTGTGGACCATTACCTTAGTCCAGGAAGCAGATGCTGACCCTGAACAATGCCTAAACAAAGATATCACTAGTCTACAAGGAGAAAGCCTTGGAAATGAAAGTAGCTAAATTTTTCCAGGATTGGGTCACTAATAAAAGGAAAATTAAGTCCCGAGTATTAATTGGCTCCAGTTTCTAAGATACAGCTTCAGGTCGAAATTGCATCAAAATAATTCAAAATTATGAGGGGGATGTGCGATTATGCTCCATAACCTTTCTGCAAAATGTGATAAAGCAATGAGAATGTTGCCACACCAATCATTATAAATGTATCTTTTTATTGATATCAATAATTTACCTTTCCATTTATTAATTGGTTTTTCATGTAACATTTTCATGCGTTTTGCATGGAGATCCTGACATCATTCCCTGGCCAGGTCATTTAGTTCACTCTGTGAAATTAGATGTGGTTCAGGAGGAGCATATGGTGGGCTAAAGTGTGGGTCCTCTGACATCGAGGGCCCAAGATCAGCTGCATCCTGCTCATTGTCTTTATCATCATCATCTGAGTCTAGAGAGTAGGATTCTGGTGGATCTGGAATTGGCAAGTCTTCACCATGGGGTACAGGACACAGTGCAGATGGAATGTTTGGATGTTCCCTGGTCCACTGCTTCTTTCTTGAGATTCCTTTTGCAGTTGGGGACACCATGCAAAAATAGCAGTTGCTACTATGATTGGTGGGTTCCCTCCACACCATTGGGACTGCGAAAGGCATTGCCTTTTTCTTCTTGTTTAGTCAATGACGCAGATAAGTTGCACATGTAATGCAACAATAATGAGGGGCCCAACTCTTGTCCTGATCCCCTATTTTGCATCCAAAATATAGGTGGTATGCCTTTTTTACCACTGCCATCATACTGCACTTTTGAGATGCAAATGTAACCTTGCCACAAATGTAGAAGTTAACTGCGTTTTACACAGTTTCGAGGCATCTTGGCTTCTGAGTGAAAATATCACGCAACTGTTCCTTGGAAATGTTCTACCGTACTTTGTCGAGAAGTTACAAGGCATCATGATCATCAGACACTTCCTCCCTTGTAGGCAAATATACTCGCCTGTGTATAAATCTTTATTGTGAAATATCTTGAAAACTTTAGCCAACCAGCACCTTTATCACCCGTTTTCTAATTCATCTAATCAAAATATGTAAGAATTAAACACATTTTATCTCGGAGGTCGATAATTTCCCAAAATTTGTAGACCAGTGTATCCCAGCCATCTGGGAAGTAGGTAAGATGAAGGCATTGTAGATGGAAGAACTGTGATGTACTCACAAGCATTGAAGTAGATGTGAACTCAAGTTTTACAATGCATTAGAAAGCACTGGTTAACAAAAGACGTGTGCAAATCTTTAATAAAACGTTCAAAAAAAAATTTTTCATGATTTTTTTTTGCAGTAATATCTCCGCCTGCTAAGTACATGGTCACGGCTGCGGGGAACATAAACCCACATGCGGTGTGTCACTTTTGGTGACGATGCTACCTGGTCCCATTTTCGAACTTACAGGCTCATTGTACCTCACAGTGGCAACACACACACACAGGGAAGACAATGTCATCACTGAATTGTAAGCCAATGAGTGAATATTGTCACCCTAGACATTCCAGTTACATTAATGTCTCCTTTTTCAAGACAGTGTTAGTGTAAATATTATTCATTATCACATAGGAAAAAAAAGTAGAAGGGCGAGGTAAAGGAGATTATCTTAACTGCATTTAAGACTTTTTAAGTGCAAGGCAACATGAACCATAAACTCTAAATCACTGATGAAAATGTTTTCTCCCACCACTCTCCATCTGCTGTTTAGCATCATTAAATTCATACAAAGTGTCAGTCAACCGGCGTGGGAGTTAGAGGCAACCTATGGACATCATCTAAACTGTATACTATGTGACGTCATACTAATTTCGTAAGACAAACTGTTACCACTTAGATCAAGTTAAATAGGCTCACTTGTTGTAAGTATAAAAAAACTAGGGTTTGAGAAGAAATAACCCAGATACAAAAATAAATAGTTCTTAGTTCCCGTTAAATAAATAGCATTAAAATGAGTATGTAATTTTAAAACATGTGCAATGTCATAGATATATAGACGTTTTTACGGAGTTACAGAAATGTTTTCATTTGACAAAGCTTATCTACTAAAGTCATCCTTATCAGAGATCCAGAAGAATTAAAAAATGGAGACAGCTAGGAATGTAGCAGTAAAGCCATTTGCCAATTCATACTGACATCTGTCATACCAGGAATGCATACCACTCCCAACATAAACATTATCATATGACTGCAACATACTTGTAGGTGTCAAGCTGAATTAAATAATAAATCGGTCTCTTAGATATGTCAGAGTAGTAAGAAGAAACTGCTAATACATAAGACACATGTTCCCCATTCTAGTTTATTAGGTTTCTACACCCTTAAGGTATAATCTATCACTTTAGTCTACTTTTTTTTAGTCTACTTTTTACGGTACTTTCCTCCAGTGAATCAACTGTTTTGGACCCATTTTTTACTTACTATGGCACCTGCTATGGGGTTCCAATGCTTCTCTAGTAGGGAAGATCTATAACCACTGTTACTTACTGGCAAGTTTTTTGCTTGATATTGAGACAAAATAGGCATTTGGCTTAGATGGCAATATTCAAAAGAATAGAGTTTGCTTATCTACATTGGAGTTTTTACCTATTAATACTTTCAGTAAGATTATGACCTTTTGTATTTTTACTGATAGGTAATCAGATTCCTCCCAAACTTGGCCCAGTGTGTGAATAAGGACACTAGAATGTGAGCTCTTCGGTTCCACATAGTGTGCAAGTCCTGCATGAAGTCCAGCATATTATGCTGACGTAATATAAATAAGGTAAAATGTATATTACTCTACATACTACAAAAGGGAGAAATGTAAATTAACTGGAGTGCAAATTTTGTAATTTTAGAACACCAGGACGTCTTTTCATTGAATGTTTCCATGCATCTTACTGGTCTAAAACATGATACACAGGATACCAGAAGAAATACAACATTTGAGACTTCCCACAGTCATAATAACAAAGTTGTAGTAAATGTATACATTGAAAACTTAGTGTCATGTGGCAGTATACTCTCTTTAGTCCTTAGGGTTGAAGATGGTTGGTTAAATCTAAATTCCAGCTAGAAGTTAATATTTTTTATTGGAAATCCCTCCAACAGAGGCACAGAATAATAAAAAAAAAACCCATCTCTTTAGTATAGTGGAAGAGGATTAGAGACTTTGCTGGCCATTAATCTTAGGGGCCATTTCATCCAATCTCCTTTCATCTTTCAATCTCCAGGATACTCAATTTAACGGCAGCTTCACATTCACTACACCAAGCTCCAGCCTATCATAGTTCGCCTTACATACAAGATTTAGTTAGTAAACGTGTAGCACTCCAGTTGACAGAATTACAAATGTCAATATGTGTAGATTATGGTTTGCATAAAAACAAAAAACATACACACCAGTCCTGCACACGCGCTGAGTGATGCAAAAGACCTGTTATGGTTCAGAACTTCTCCAGTATAGAAACAAAGCTCATCCACAGGGATCCTGTTCTGGACTTTCTCTCCGAGCTCTGTTCTCTCCTCTACTATGAATCCTGAAGCCAGAAACTTGAGGTTCCTTTGCAGGTGCAAATGCAGGTTTTGACCAAAGGCTGGTAGATGGATGTACATATTGTTCGGGTGGCTTCCTACGCCTGTTGTAACGGAGCGCGGCCTTCGGATGTTAGAAAATACTGACTCATCTCCTTGCAGTGGCAGAGGCACCTCTCCAGCCCATACTAACTGCGGGATCACAACTTTGACTACTGGGTCAGAGCATTCAGCTGCAAAACAAAATGTGATTCACATATGAAGATGATGTCAGTAGCTACAATGTTTTTCCAACCAGTCACGCTACAGCCAATACAGTGTGTAAGTCTCACAACAATGTACTTGTATCAGCCCAAAAATAAATTTTATGTGCTAGGTTTTTGGACTTTTAGACCTTGAAACCACCGGTACATTCATGTGCTAGGTAAATCAGCTCAAATTTATATTCACAGCCCAGGAAATGTAAATCACCACCTACAGCTACTCTAGTCTATGAGAAACACACTTTGTACGCATGGGTCAGGCTCAGCTGAACCTAAAAGTAGGCACACTTTCAAAGAACTGTTTTTTTTCCCCATGGAATGCCATCAATTTTAATACATACAGGTCTATTCACTAAAGGGTGAAGAGTTTGGAGAAGGCAGGAGAAGTGAACAATCTAGGACAAAATAGCCGATTTGGAAAAATTCTCCAATTCAGCTCACTTTCCAGTTCAGCTATGTTGTCCTAGATTGTTCACTTCTCCTGCCTTCTCCAAACTCTTCACCCTTTTGTGAATAGACCTGATAATCATACAAAAGATTCTTGTTGCCCCGTAGAGGCTGATCAGATTCTCTCCATTTCACTTACTAGTAGTGCACAAAAGACTCTAAACTGGAAATACAGACTGTCTTCTTCCTTCAGGTACTTTTAAAAACACATTGATACCAGTTCAGAATCTGCTATAAAGGCAGGAGAAGTGAACAATCTAGGACAAAATAGCCGATTTGGAAAAATTCTCCAATTCAGCTCACTTTCCAGTTCAGCTATGTTGTCCTAGATTGTTCACTTCTCCTGCCTTCTCCAAACTCTTCACCCTTTTGTGAATAGACCTGATAATCATACAAAAGATTCTTGTTGCCCCGTAGAGGCTGATCAGATTCTCTCCATTTCACTTACTAGTAGTGCACAAAAGACTCTAAACTGGAAATACAGACTGTCTTCTTCCTTCAGGTACTTTTAAAAACACATTGATACCAGTTCAGAATCTGCTATGCTGATATCACACTAAAAAAAGAAGAAGATTCTGATTGGTTATGGATTCATGTACTCAAGAATTAGCACCAAGAGCCAGTGTTTACTGCTGCTTCATGTCGGCAATAATTTTGCTTGCTTTTTGTGTTTGTCTATAACGTGTTAAGAAAGTAGATGTATCTTCATGTTATCAATTCATACGGTACAGAACACAGACATGAATATGGCCTTAAAGTGTACATAGAGGAAAAATATGACTTAACTTGCATATATATCGAAATCATTTTTGAAACTACAAAAATAAACATTTTATGTACATAACGGTCCTATGAAGAGTCAAGAATATGGGACTTGCATATCATTTTGTGAATGGACGAGGGTAGCAGAGGGGGTGGGATGCGACTGGAGACCTTCACTTAGTGCTATCTCCTTAGCACACCGTACCAATGTACCCCAGAGCTCAGCGACTGCTGGAACAACTGGTGGATGGCACCAGAGTATACAGTTTAGAGCAGTGGTTCTCAACTCGTGGGTCGCGACCCAAAAGTGGGTCGCGACACCCTCTGCAGTGGGTCGCGGCGTCATGTCTGCATAGACCGGCCCATCTGCATTAGAGAGAACTAGAGGGGGAATTTGTGGTTCAGCCTGCGGAACCTCATAATGTCAAACTGTCCCCTCTCTCCCGGCCTCCCCCGGGCTCTCCGATAAAGTGGTATGGCCCGGGGAGAGAGGGGACTATTTCCTCACTTTCGGGCCGGCGCATTAATATCGGGCCGCGGCGCCTGACAATTAAGTAATAGTTCCGGTCTGCACGGGAGAGTACAGCAGATATCAATCCGCCGCTGTATCTACTGTACTCTCCAGTCCAGATAGTTCAGTCGGCTGGAATCAGAGAAAGGTAGGCAGGCAGACAGGGAGATGTGCACTGTGGCAGGACAGGGGACACTGATGGATATTATGTATTCCAAGCCCACATAATATCCATCATGTATATCCATCACTGTCCCCTGTCATAATGTATGTTAATGAAATACCCAATTAATGTTATTACACAGACTGGGCTCAGAATACATAATGTCCATCAGTGTCCCCTGTCATATTGTCCTCTGTCAGTGCAGAAGCTGGGGAGGGTGTGGGGGGGGCATTAGCAGGGGGCTCCGCTGCAATTTTTTTACCTGCAGCAGAGCCTATGCTAATGCACCCCTCCCCCAGCTTCTGCACTGACAGGGAACTTTATGACAGGGGACACCGATGGTCATTATGTATTCCAAGCCCACATAATATCCAATAGTGTCCCCTGTCGTAATGTCTCCTGTCAATGCAGAAGCTTCGGGGGGCATTAGCAGGGGCTTAGTAGAGAACCTGCCGTGGTGCCCCTGCTAATGCCCCCCCTTCCCCATACAGACACCCTCACCACCCCCTCCAGGTTCTGCACTGACAGGGGACATTAGGACAGGGTACATTGATGGACATTATGTATTCCAAGCCCACATAATGTCCATCAGTATCAGTGGCGTAACCAGAGTTATGGGCGCCCGGGGCAGACATTCCCCCCCACCCCCCATTATATAAACATCCATTGGAACTGTACCCCGCAACCGCCACCCCCACACGTTTTTATTTTAATTTTTTTGAATATTTAATTTT